TTTATATAAAACTATAATTCTCAAGAATTTGATCACCTACAAAAATATACATTTTGCAATTTTTTACCTAAAGATATTTCTTACATGACATTTGCTTGCAGTTATACTTCTCTACTCTAAAGATATTCCCTATTTGAGCGTCAAGTACCTCTGATGCTCTTGGTGAGTTACTGGTAAGTGAGACAGTAAGGCTTCATCTTCAATAATGACTAAATAATCAAAATTGACAGTATTGCAGAAACTACTTAAAGCTGAGTGCTTTAAATAGTTTTTAACATTTTGATGACTTTGAAAGTATAATACTGAATCTATTTAGCCACCAAATAAAATCAATACATTGCTTTTCCAATGATCATGTACACAGAAAAATGTAGGCATCTATAGAAGTGTGAACTTCCTAGGAGTCTATGATTATTTCAAAAGAAAAAGTTTTCAAAATAAAGCAAAAACAAAAGCAAAACCTCAAGTATCTAAAGACAGTGCCATCTTGAAGTGGAGACATATCAAATATTTTAATGGGGTATAACTATATATATATGAATGATGTTAATATTACCAAGTTACCAAGGGACATTTCCAGTGATAGGACATCAAATTAAGTTAAAGCAACCAATGGAATGTTCATGTTTATCTTGTTTAGTTCTAACAAATTTCATCTGGTGAATCTCTGAGATTTAACGGCAAAGGAAAAATAAGTCCTCTTGTTTCTTTATCCTTATTTTTTTTCTTAAAATGTTTATTCTCCTAGTTGTATCATCTTTATTCTCTTTGATAGTGATTAGTGTGAAAGGTGATTACTAGGATCTTCATGATTAAATGTGGTATTTGCGATACTTGAGGAGAGAAGAAAACCTTCGTAGTGACTTTTGACACAATTCCTAGTATAAAAGGATGCTCAATGTGAATTTTCCTACTGTCTCATTGTTTGGACTGAAAAATAAATCAAATACACACGACTCACCTATTCTGAAGTATAGTATTAGCTCCGTTAGGCATAGGATTGAATTAGTTTTGTTGTTATTTGATTATCATCCTATCGTCATTATTGTTGAGCTTGAACAAAACCAGGGTATATGGTACCCTATTTACTGATCATTAAAACTTGGTTTTGTTGCTCTTTGCTCATCTTTCATATTGAAGATATTTTAAATGATGACTAGAGTTGGAAAATACAGATAAAGAGCTACACAGGAGCAAATTTCAGTCCACAAACAGCAAGGCTAAAGAACATGTTTCCCAGGGTGCCTGGGTGGCTCAGTCGGTTAAGTGTCTGACTTCGGCCCAGGTCATGATCTCGTGGTTTGTGAGTTTGAGCTCCGCATCGGGCTCTGTGCTGACAAATAGCTCAGAGCCTGGAGCCTCCTTCAGATTCTATGTCTCCCTCTCTCTGACCTTCCCCTGCTCACGCTGTCTTTCTCTCTCTCTCTCTCTCTCTCTCTCTCAGAAATAAATAAAAACATTAAAAATTTTTTGAAATTTTTATTCATGTTTCCCATGAACCAGATATAAGGCAGATCTAGGCAATTGACATCCAACTCTAACAGAAGATAGGCAGCTGAAAGTATAGAACTGCCAGAGGGGAACACTTAAAATGGGCTTGTCAGAAAATGTCTTTCTGTGTCAAAAGAACGTCAGTAAGAAGATTCCTCTAGAGATATATCAGCAACCCACAAAAGTGTCCACCTCCCAATATGTTTATGCCATCAGAGCTATACCAGGCATGAGTTTTTCTGCACCTTTCCTCATCTTTAGTCACCTTCTGCTTCACCCTGTGGAGTTCTGAAGTGGAAGGAGGAAAAGAAAGAAGAGATGAAATGAGGGAAGAAAGGCAGCCAGCTCTGCATCTATGTGTGGTGTAAATTTCCAAGGATGAAGCTGGCTCAGCCCAATGAGGAGTACATAGAAGGCAGCCCATAAATAAACATATTCATTTTTCTCCTTCCTTTTTCTTTCATCTTTTATCAATGCTTACCCTCTACACAAATTTTCAACATCAATGTTATCTTTCTCGTCCTTATTAATTTTCTACTTTGACAAAGGAAGCCACTCAGCATCTGTCTATCTGCCTATCTAAATATCTGGCTAAATTTTATGACGACCTGAAATCTTATGAGAAGACTGAGCTTCAATGAGAAGCACTGAGTCAAGGAACAAAGAGCTGGAATGGAATTTTTCAGAACAAAGACTGGGCCAGGAGCCATACAGAACTAGGCAGACTTAAAACCTGACTTTGCAATTAACTGTCTTTCTGGTCTTATTATGAAAAGTTTTCAACCTATTTTGGCCTCAGTTCCTACCTCCTATTCTATTGTGGGACATAAAAAGCACATGTAAATGAAGATCACAGTAACTGACTGGGGAGACCTCCACATATCCCTGCCAACATGGCTATCATCGACATTATTCACATTTTCAGAATCCAAATATTAATGATACATTCTTGACAGAAGAGAAGGAACTTATGTAAGTTCATAGTTGTAAGTTAATATTTATGAAGCTCAATAAAAACTAAAAGCTACTGGAGGAATAACTAAGACATGATATTTTAGAAGAAATATCAATCTGTGGTCACGCCATTGAATGGTGGAGGAGTTTTCTTCAGAAAAATTATTAAAAAGGCAACAATGCCTATAATTATAATCCTCCCTCTTTTCCACCTTTCCCTCACCTTTGATACCAAAGTCCTTTGGATTCCTTAAATCTTTCTCAGGGATAAATAATTTGACCAAATAATTCTACTGGAGATAAAATAATGGTAGGACTTACAGTATGATCCTGCCTATAATACGTGGGTTTAATAAAATAAAACACACTGATTTCTAAGTTAAAAGTTTCAAATTCTAAGCATGTAATATGACCATATGCAAGGCAGCTGAAGATGTGTTACAGAAGGAGAGCAGTTCTTCAAATCTGACGTCATTGTAATAGTACCCACTAGCTTTGACTCCCAGTAAGGCAAATCCCTGTTTAAAGCTTTGTTGAATAGATTTCTAGTTCCCCACTTAAAATCCATTCTGCTTTGGTCCTTAGTAACAAAATCCTGATTTTATGTTAGTTCTCTCTGTGCCCAAACAAAACGTACCCTTCTCACCTCTCTTGCAGTACAGGTGGATAGGTAGTAAGTAGAAGCTGTTAGGTGAGACAATGCAGGAAGACTCCTCAAAGGGAGAATGGATGGGTACTTTTACCTCCTGCCCTTCCTATTTCTCTGCCTGAAATTCCACTGTGGTAACTGGAATAACAACAGCTATAAAATAATTTTAAGGACTGAAACCATGTATTAAAAATGGTAGGACAGTAATAAATTGCCTAGATATGGACTCAACATACTTGCCCTTGACTAATTATTTTTAAGTTCCTTTCATGTGAGATAAAAATAAATGTCTATCTTGATTAAGCCACTGTTATTTCTGAACTGCAACTCCTAGCTGATAGGAGTATTTTACCTATATGCAGTGTGTGGTGTCACAATAAAAACTGGCTTCGATGGAAAATCTAGAAGTCTAATCACTGAACAGGGAAACAGGCTAAGCGAGGAGATGAAGCTACAGTGGCTGTATATATGACACTGTATCAAGGTGTCTAATCAGTTCTGTGTGGAACAGTAATCTAGGCAGCCAAGAAATATGCAGAAGACTGGTTGGCAGTAGCCATGGTTACTGAAAATGTGACCCTGCATAAAAACCTGCTGACAAAGAATAGAATCTTGCTCAGATGTAGTGGATTGAAGAGAGCCACAATTTTTTGAGGCATTTCCTTTTAAGAGGAGGGGTCCATATTTCTTTCTCTTAAATCTAGGCAGGCCCTTTGACTGCTTTAAATGATAGAATACAACAGAAATTATGCCTTGTAGTTCGAGGTTTCACCCTTAAGAAACTGGCAAATTTTACTCCCTAACTCTTAGAAGGCTTATTCTCTGAACCAGAGCCACCATATAGGAAATCTAACTCCTCCACTGAAGGAGAGAACCCTGTGGGGAGGATCAGTATATGTGCTGCCGAAGCGAGCACGCTGTGGGGAGGATCAGAATGATATAGAGAGGGAGAAGAGCCCAGCCCAGCCTTTCAGCCAGGGAGCCATCCTTACCAATGAACCAGGCCAATAAATGATGCCACTTTGGGCCTTCCAGACCAGATCAGCCATCAGCTGAATCCCAAATCAAAATCATGGGGAACAGAATTGCTCCACAAAGCTGTGTCCAAATTCCTGACCTACAAAATCATGAACTATGATAAAATAGTTGTTGTTTTAATCCATTAAGATTTTGAATACAGTAGCAGAAAACTGTGAGTGAACCAGCAAGAGGTAAGTGCAAGAGCTAAGACTCAAGAAGAGACAAGAGATCTTACTGGGGAACACCAGAGAACTAGTGAAATATAAAAAATATAGTTCTATTAGGGCCAAACCTGTTGGGGAGAAGCCTTTTAATTGTGGGACACACACATATTCTTTTCAGTTAATTAGCTTATAAGACTATAGGTCCTAGATCAAAAAAGCTTATATAAATAAGTGGGAAGGAAACATATAAGAACCAATACAAGAATCCAGAGTCTGAGAACATAGTAACAAGCTCCACAGACCAAAGAAGGGAAACTCTACAAGGAATAGATGAAGGATTGAGGCCAGGGTTGACCCATGGAAATTAGTAGCAGATTCAACTGTAGGGATGCATAAGGAGCTGAGGTAGGAAAGAAGAGGCAAATGATCATGTATAAAAGGTGGATTTGTATCAGCAAATTGAGTGCAAATTGAGTTATATTAGTAAGAACTGAATTGCCATGAGAAAAGGGAAGGAGAGAGTTGAAGAAACATCAGGTAACTAGTAAAAGAAATCAAGAAAGTATGAAAGTGATCAGTGAAACTAATTGAGTTCCTATACCTTATGTCTTCCACTCCCCCTACTCCCTGACTATGGCAGATGTAAGGGGACTTTTTGCCTGGTTCAAATGTTTTGTATCTATTTGCAATATGAACTCTAGGGAAGATATGATGCCACTTACCATCAATAAAGGTGTGCCCAGTGGGATCCTCAACAAAATGGAAGATGAGACAGCAAAGTAAGGCACCAAATGTTTTCTCATGATATCCTAGGAAAGAATAATTGCCATAGACTGAGAACAAAGTGTTGGACAGAGGCTGCAGAGAGATTTCCAGGAATATGAACTACACTTCATTCGGGCTCATAGATAATCAACAGAGAGGCTCTTTACTGAAAGTTACTTTTCAAAACAGAAAAATAATTATTATAAAGATCCAGAAATGTTTAACAGAATGTGAAGGCAGCCATGTGGCTAAAGTTGAAGATGGAAAGCCAGTAGGCGCCCAGATGGTGCCCACTGTGTCTTGACCTTCTCTCCGTCCACCCGTTTTAGTCCTCCTCCCTTGCCCTGAGTTAGTCAGTTTTCCTTCTGTTGACAGATAAGGCTGCCATCCCACAGCCCCTGGGCTCCCATCTTCTCTGCTCGACAGATGTGCTGCCTTTAGGTCTCAATCCCAGCTTTCTAGGAGAAAGACCAAGGGAAGATAATTTAAGTTTTACGTCCACACCGATCTACTGTATTCAAAATGACCCAGTCGCATATATATACATGGCTGCTATAGACCCAACTCTGTCGACAGGATGAGCAATCCTCAGAGAGAAAGAACTCTTATGATTTGGGCATAGTACTTAAAGTAGTGGTCCACAGTATTGTATATGAGATTGTCTATTGTGCCACCATCAACACTATCATTTAGGAGATCTATGCCATCTTATAGGTATGAAACCTTGCAGGGTCCCTTAAAATCCGTAGTCAAGCACAGTCTCAGTAATATTTGGTTAATATTATTCTTTGGATTGCTTTCCATAGGTACACAAAATATCTGCACTATCCTACCAAATTACCCGTGATGAAGTATTGTCTTGTTGAATTCTTTGGCATTTTGTTTTTCTTCTATCTCAGATGATTTCCATGCTGAAAGTTTTCTTTTTTTTTTTTCCAAATTATTTGAGAGAATGATTAAAGTAGAAAAGATGAAAAACAATGTATTGCTTTATTGCAACTTTATACACCTTTATTGTAATCCATAAGCAGAAATAGGCCTCTGGATCATTTTATTTCCTAAACTAAAAGGCTTGTTTTTAATGTTAGACATTTCAATATGAATCTAAAAAAGGATCATATTAGTCCATTGGTAAGAAAAGTTTCTTTTCCAAAACCGCTTAAACTACTGTGTGCTTTTACTGTGGTGTTCATGGTAAAGACAACTTCAGAGTCATTTACCTCACGCTGATGTGGTCCTATAAATCTGCACATAGTTATTACCTTTGTAACCCAAGAGGCTGTCCCTGTGAATCAGCTCTGGTCTTTTATTTGGAATAGTACCACTGGATATGTCATTTGGGCTTTCATGTGGTTCTGTATATGTCATTGTTGAAATGCATTGCCTTGCTTTGTTCTGCCTGTTGAAGTAGAAACTAACCAAGCAAAGGTTGGACAAGATCACACAAGATGATTCACGCATAGTGTAATGGTTTGAGAGGTGGGTCTTTTTGTACTTGTGAATGCCAAAGACATTTGCAGCCATGATGGTTGGACTGAAGTGCAGTTCATTTTTTATTCTAATCATCACTTTTACTGTATTAATTCAGCAACCTCAGTCAACTGAGGCCCTTCTGTAGGTGTAAGATGTTGGAAAATTTGAGAAAGAAAATAAAGTATGAATGAAGCACCATGTTTGATGTATTTATTGACCACCAACTATCACATTCTTCTCTACTTGATCATATTCGAGTCTTTTTGTTTTTCTTTTTCCTATTCTGAGTTTAGATTCCTTAGTTGGTTTATGTCTAAGGGACAGGAAGGCTGAAATTTGAAACCCCACCAGGTTCCCTGTCCTTTTCCTTTCTGTGACTGTGAAGGGAAGCTGAATACTTCAGTAACACCATGTTTCAATTATTTTTATTTTAGACCACATGGGCAGACACTGCTCACCACTGTTTGACAGGATGTTGCTGTGTCTTCTTGGTAGGGGTCCACTGCCCATCAAAGAGAGAGAATTTGATTCTTTTGACTCTTAAAAAAAATGTTAGCCACACACACTCAGACAACACCTCACAGGGATATATGTCTGAGTGAGAACTTTTGAATGAAGTATGTTTTCTAGTTATTTTCTCTAACCAAAGAGGGGAATATATTACTTCTTGTGAGTTCTAGGCACTCAACTTGCTAACATGCTGAAAGCTATAGATCCATAGTCACTTACCTAAAACTTCTGAGCTCAAAGATAATTCAGAATTCAGAATTTTTCATATTCAATGTACTACTGTTATATAATAACTGAGATTGATCTGGGGAAAACTATAATAAAGCCCATTAATAATTCTGCAATGAAATATGTGGGTACTCATACTAAGGAAGATGGACAAAGATTGATAATAGTCTCATGTCAATTCTGGGTGGGTTTTCTACAAATCAGTTCAAGCCATGTCTCATTTTGACCCCCTAAAAGTTATAAAAGATTTTGGTATTAAGGTTTTTTGTTTGTTTGTTTTGGAATTAGAAGGAGGCAATGCTGTACCTAAATTCATAGGTTTCAGGCATGTTGTAGATGCTTACTACAGACTTACAGAAATAACTCACTGGTTGAATGAAAGGTTGATTAGTTATAATAAGTATGTGAGTGAGTGAATGGAGAGTCTTTGTCTTATAAGGTAGAAATAAAGAGGATAGAATATTTTATGGTTTAATAAGATCTCTAAACTTGAAACCAGAATTTAGAAGGGAAATTGTCTCAAATGAAGTAGTTTATTTATTTTGCTAGCCATCACTGCATAGAGCATTTGGGACCAGGGTACTCAGAGTTCATATTAGATTCTATGTATACTCAACGTGCTTCTATCTCTGATTACATTCTTAACCTTTCTTCTTAAAGCTTTGTGTAACCATTAATTACAGGTTACCTTTTAACACAGAAAAAAAAACCATGATATATAAGAAAGTAAATAGTTATAAGTACAGGCTATTCTTCTACAGACACAGATGTTGCTTTGTTGCTTCTTTAAAAGAGATTTTGCTAGCATTTAGTTATAGAAAATGATCTTTTGGTTTATAAAGTTTGTCACATCCTTTGTCATACTTTCAGTTGAAAAGTGTTCTGCACATTTTAAGGGGTTGTTATGTTTCGGAGATTTATTTTCTTGTATGTTTGATACTAATTAGAGAAAGAATATGACTAGAACACAAAAGCACACTGGAACAAGTTATATGTGTTATCTTCACCTGGAAGAATTCTCTCATGCCTCAAACTTGCCTTGTAGCTGACTGCCTGCGAATGAGGACTTCCTTGCTTCCCAGTCAGCAGGTCAGTTACTCGAGAGCTGTCATCTGGATCTCCAGGTTTCCCAAGAGCCTTCTTGAGTTATATCTATTGCCTCAGCATAGATGGCATTCCTTCCCATTCTCAAAAGAATCCTAGTCTGGATGAAAAATTTTATAATTACCTTAATTAATAAAAATTCTCATTTTTTCAAGTGCTCATGCTTTTCCAGCAAATTCATCCCTTCTCTCAATCTTATGATTGTATCACAGGGTGAACATTTCTGCCAGAAGCAACTATATTAAACCAGTTTTCTAGAGAACAGTTAGCTCTCGATGGAAAAGCATTTGCTTGTTTTAATTTTCTTTTTAAAGTGTTTTTCTTTTCCCCAATCAGGAAAAAAATATCTTTGTCTTCACCCACAGAGACTCTTAAAGTATGTTCTTACCATTTACCAAAGTCTTTCAGTTAAGCACCAATTTCCCCATGGAAACAAAGTCAGTGGAGCTCCAATAAAAATGAGTATACGTCCAATGTGGCAGAGGAACTGAACACTCCCCAAATGTTTGCATTGCAAGGCCACATGAAACGGCATCTTCTTCCCTGCTCACCAGCATGTTTCAGCATCCCTACAGTCTGCCAAGATTAATAGAGGTGTAAAAGCCATGTGTTCAGCATTGAATTTGTTTATTAAAGAGGGAGGTAGAGAGACATAAGTGCTGAGAAGGAACTGTTGAAAGGTAGGGTTATTCTGTTGCTGATAAAACAGAGAAAAAAAATTTTCCACTGGGCAGAAAATAGGGATTAGCTAAACAGATTGCTGTTTCCACTTTTATCTACAGGCTATACAGATATGTTTACTAGCATGATAAACGACTAAAACAGTCAACAGTGGAAGGGGGTGGGCAGAGTAACAGTAGCATCGTTATTTCTCTCTTTCCACAAAGAAAAATTATTTTTGCTTCCCGAATGCTACTAGATGGCTTCAGTCACTGCGCCCATAGTTCATGAATAAAACTTGAAAATGAACCCATTGGCTAACCTTATTGGCTCCCAGAAACACATCCATTTACTACTAAACAGAGTAATCCCCCTACCTGGAGTGGGAGACAGGTAGATTAACTCTATGGATTTTACCACTAAAACTAACAGAATGAGTCTTTGTGCAAAAGAAGGGAGTTTTCTTAATACAGACTCTACATGGAATCCTTCCAGACCTCACTCCATGTTTGAATCTAGTAGGATTTGCACACAAATATGGGCTGGTAATAACTACTATCCCGTTAACTTTAGAGGCACTGGAGCAATGCTATCTCAATTTCTCTTGACAGATCCTAAAGCATTTTCATGAATACTGGAATGGCTTTGCACTGAAAGTAATGATCAACAAAACAAAGAAAACAAAACAACGGTACTGCTCCCAAAAGAAGGGAGTGCCCTTTCTTTGTTTTAAAATGAGACAAAAATAATGTTCTAACCATCTGGCCTTCCAAGAACCTCATGTCCTTAGGGTTGACTGGGAAGATAAATTGCTAATTTATCGACCATGATTTATTAACTCATAATTAGGATATGTGGTTTGTTAACTATAAGTTTGCTATCAGAACATGAAAACACAGGGCAATGCAAGAAAATTCTAGACATGTGGTGACCTCAGACTGAGATCTAAAGGTTTTTTAAATATTTTTAAGTTTATTTATTCATTTTACGAGGGGAGGGGGCAGAGAAAGAGCAATCAAGAGAAAGAGAAAGGGAGACAGAGAGAGGGTGAGATAGGGAATCCCAAGCAGATGCTGTACTGTCAGTGCAGAGCCTGACGTGGGGATGCATCCCATGAGCCGTGAGATCATGACCTGAGCCAAAACTCAGAGCTGGACACTCAGCCCGCTGATCCACACAGACGTCCCTCAAACTGAGATCTTTTAGTTCAAACATATCACTTTTTTAAAAGGAGGAAACTGAGGTTAGTCAAAAACTGCTCATTGACTAATCTGGAGCCAGGAATTGTGTTCCTCAGTCTACCAAGGCCCTATCCAGTGCTTTTACTCCTTTATGCTTTATTCCAAGAAAAAAAAAAGAAAGAAAGAAAGAAAACAGTCTGAGTACCAATGTCATGAATATACCAAGTAATCAGGGTAGCAAGGAAAAGAAAACAATGTTCACAGCCAGAGAAAAATGCAAAGGTAGCTCTTTGCTGTAAATACAAGAGAGAAAAACTAGAATAGGATGATTTTCTCCTCTGACACAGCAGGGAAATTATCTAAGAGGAAGTCAAAAGTATGCAAATGTGATTGGGTGCTGAATGCAAAGAACTTTGAAACAGATTCTGAGCAGAAGCTGGTGGCTGGGGTCTTAATGAAGCCTTGCTGGATTCCAAGCCAAGGGGAAAGACATTCTTACCTCTCAGGCATTTGCAAGGGTTGATGACTATCAGACAAGGTTAATAGGTACAGAGGGACTTGCCACTTTAGGCCCACATTTCTGGTTCTGCTACAGAAACTAAAAATACCTCTACTGAGAAGGCTTTTTTTTTCTTTCGTTTGCAGATTTTTGTAGAAAATCCCTCTTTCCTTCAGTTTCCTTCAGCCTCAGTAACATCTTGCCTTGGAATGTAGTGCTAACTTTCTTGTCATGTTGCCCAAGAGGAGGAAAAAAGATATGAATGAGTGCTTTCAGGTGCCTTCAGGGTGGGGTTCAGTTATTTAGAATGATAGAAACCCTGAGGTGGAAGGAGGTTTAGAGACTGTTAGCCTAGCGGTTCTCAACTAGAGGTGGTGATTTTTGTCTCCTGCAGAACATTTGGCAAAGTCTGGACACATATTTGGGGGGAGTCACAACTGAATGGGAATTATAGTAGCATCAAGTGGGTAGAGTCCAGGAATGTTGCTAAACGCCCTACAATGCAGAGGATGGCCCCCACAACCAAGAATTTCCCCCAACTGACAATAGTATCTAGGATGAGACACTTCTGAATGATTTTGTGTCATAAAGGAGTATATGAATGCTCAGTGAGGTTCAGCCCAATCTTAAGCACTGGTCTCTTGACTCGGTTTCCAGTGCTCTTTTATATTGTAATTGGACCTATTATTTGCTCTATTAATTCTTGAGCCTGGTTCAGATTTTTCTCTTATAATACTCAATATTTTTTAAAGGAATGAATTCTCTTGTGATACATATATGATGTATAGAGTAAACTTATCTCGAATTTAAGAATAGTAATTGAGAAACAACCTCACCTTCTCAAAACAATAGGTATATGGAACGTTGACTCAAAATCAATCTGCTAGATTGTTCCTAAGGAAACTCTCATAGTACATAGTATTTCTCTTTCTTCATTGCTTCTTTTTTGGCTTTCTGTGCGGGGAAGATGAACTTATCAATAGTCCCCATTATGTGAACTTGCAAACTCCTTCTTCCTTGGCGAGTATGTATCCTCAAAACTATGTGAGTTAATTATTCACATAATTTTTATAATAACTAAAAGTTAATTAATTATTGACCTAGCTGCATCTCAAAAAAAATTTATTCTGTGAAAAGTTTCAGAAGATTTTATCCTCAATCTGAATTTTCCAGGTTTTAGTGACCTCGTACTTTCCATTATGTTGAAATTATATAAATGTAAAAGCCTCCTCTCCTGAAAAGGCAGGAACAGCATGAATTTCACACATTTGAGCCCTTCTTGAGCCAGGGGCCTTCCAGGTTAAGGGGAGCAGAAATTTTACCCCAAAACTTGCCTGTTTGGCATACAAATGATTCTAGGCTAATTGTTTTTAAGAAACAACAGACAGCACTCTGAAAACTAAGAAATAAAAAATATTTATACATGTAAGAAGAATCTCCACTTGTAAGGACCTCTCCTTCACTATACCAGGAAGAGAAGATATAGAAATTCTTATTAATGAAGAAGACAATGACTTACATTGGCGTAACAACCAGACAGACTTTTGTTTACTGAGCTTTCTTTGAGGAACTTCCCATAACTGTCCCCATATCCCCCAACATCTTTCTTTTGTCTTTAGCTGGTGATATTTAAGGTGATGGCCTGAGCTATTTCTGGGTATTACTCAGTTTCCCTGGGTTCTCCCCCATGTATACAGGAGGTTTACAGGTTATTAAACTTCTGTTTGTTTATCTTCTGTTAATCTGTCTTTTATTATGTGGGGTGGAGGGGTGGGTTCTCAGCTAAGAGCCTCAAAGGGTAGAGGGAAAATTATTTGTCATTCCCCCAAACAGGTTTCAACATGTCAAATTAAAGAGAAAAAGCAGAATGAATTTTCTCTTCTTTCCTGAGAGTAGCTCCTGAATAATCTCTAATCTTCTTAACAGAATATAAGTGGTCTACACTTTAGCTTTATTTTATTTAGCCTTTCTACAATCATATCGATCATTCACCTATAATACATGCCCATGATAAGTCTACTTATCAATTCCTTTCCCAATAAGCTACCTATCCTTCATTATTTGTAAGCAGTTTTCTGCAGAGGTTATTAAATTTTTGGAAAACCAGCATTCATATGGTTTCCAAATTTCCTAAGACCTTTTCTTTTTGAAAAACTCTGCATAACTTAATCTGTTTCTGCCCCAGTATGTAATGAACTGAAGATGGTTCCTGTCCCAATAATTCCAGGAAATGCACACGCACTGATATTGTGCACCTTGACCCAAAAATCTCAGGCTTGGCAAAAACAGAGAAGAGAAATTTACTACGGTATCTATTTACAAACCAAATAGAGTTAAAGATGTATATCCTTATTGACCTCTTATCTCCAAAGAAGGTTTAAATGCTTCCTCTTACATGAATTTCATTATGTTCTAAAAGTCTGCAAATTTTCAAGTTCATCTAAGAATTACAGTCTTAGAGCTGGTCAGAGGCTGTTACCAAAAGAAGGGATGCATTGTTATGAAATACATCAAGGGTTATTTTATTTAAAGACTGTGTGACTTCTGTACTCCATGTATATAATGTACTGTTTTATTTATCACAACTTGTTAACATCTGATTAAATATCTGTGCTATCATGATTTATAAGAAATGTATGTATATATGGTTATTCAGATGAACAAAATATATTTCTTACATACATTTGGTCTCCATACATGATTCCTGGCTCACAGCTCCCAAAACACTTGGGATTTCCCTCAGTGACAAGAGAAATAACATCCTGTGTTATAATATTTGATCTTTTTCCCTCTGTTCCTAAAAATGCTTCAAAGCCATGAAGGTGAAATGTGTGTCTTATTATTCAGAACCAGCCCATTTTCTCTAAAACTAGATTTATATTAATGAAGTGACTTTTGGAAAGTACCTAAAGTCTCTCTCTGACCCTCCCCTGCTCACGCTGTCTTTCTCTCTCTCCTAGAAATAAATAAAACATTAAAAAAATTAAAAAAAAAAAAAAAGGGGCGCCTGGGTGGCTTAGTCGGTTAAGCGTCTGACTTTCAACTTTCGCTCAGGTCATGATCTCACGGTTCGTGGGTTCGAGCCCCGCGTCGGGCTCTGTGCTGACTGCCAGCTCAGAGCCTGGAGCCTGTTTCAGTCTGTGACTCCCTCTCTCTCTGACCCTCCCCTGCTCACGCTGTCTTTCTCTCTCTCCTAGAAATAAATAAAACATTAAAAAAAAAAAATTAAAAAAAAAAAAAAAGGAAAGTACCTAAAGATGGGGACCAGTTACCAAAGGAATCGACCATGAATACAAGGTTGTAACTTTCAGCCCTACCTAATATCCAGGATAGTTAGAAAGGCTAGAGGTTGAATCAATAATCAATGGCCAATGATTTAATGTGTAATGAGGCATTTAAAAAAAGGGGGTGGGGGATCAGAGAACATCTAGCTTGGGAAAGCAGAAAGCTTCCATGTGTCACATGCCAGGCCCCAATGTCCATGAGAAGAGAAGCTCCATGTTCTGAACTTTGCCCTATGTATCTCTTCATTGGCTGTTGAATTGCGTCCTTTAATATCCCTTGCAATAAATTCAGTAATCCAGTGACTAAACCATTTTCTGAGTTCTGTGAGCCATTCTAGCAACTTAATTGAACCCACAGAGGGTGTCACAGGAACCTCTGATTTAGAGCCAGTCAGTCAGAAGTGCAAGTAACACCTTGGACTTATGACCAACACCCGAAGTGGAGAGGTGGGAATGGTCTTGTGGGTCTGAGTCCTTCACCTGGGGGATCTGATGCTGTCTCCAGGTAGATAGTGTCAACATTAACATCCTGCTGGTGTCTAAGAATTGATTATCAGATTAAGGAAGCCTCCACACATACACATGTGTTGGAATTGCTCCAGGAACCCAAAAGAATATCTTCAGTGCCTAACACACAATAACACTCAGAAAATTATGTGTTAGATAAATGAACCTGAATCTTCTATTTGATGTTGGGCCCTTAGAAGACAAGACTGATGTTGGTTAATTTGTGATTCTTTAACAAAAAGCACAGTGGTTGGCAAATATTCAGAGCACAAATAAATAATTCTTGAAATGAATTATCCCAATTAAAAAAAACAATAATCCTTCTGAGCTTTGTTTCCAGTATAAGACCTTGCCTCACATAGAGAAAATAACTAAGGGGGCACCTGGATGGCTCAGTCAGTTAAGCAACCATCTCGATTTCAGCTCAGGTCACGATCTCACGGTTGTTGAGTTCGAACCTCGCATTTGTCTGACTCGGAATACTATCTCTACATCTCTCTCTGTCCCTCCTCAGCTCTTTCTGTCTCTCTCAAAATAAATAAATCAACATTTAAGAAAAGAAAAAATGATAAAGTGTTTACAAAATTAAAATCATTGAAGAATGATACATTTATTTTTATCTTTTTTGTTTCCAAAATGTGACATGGCATCTCAGTTCAAATGCCACCTTTGGAATGCCATCCCTCTTCATACTTATTTCATTAAGCACACTGAGTCCAGGGTTAGACAGCCTTGGTTCAAGTCAAATCACTGAAAATATGAAAGGACTTAATGTAGCTAATGTGCACCAAGTAGTACATGGCACACAATAAATGCTATATGGATTAGCCATAATTTCCAAAGCCTTCTGCACAATTTTCTTGCAGTATCATAAATAGATAATTACCAGATAATTCCCACATTTAGACTGTGAACTCTACAAGGATCATTTAATGAAGCATTTCTCCCATTTTACCTTCAGCATCTTGCTTGGTGTCTGAAATTCTGCATCACTCATTCAACGCAGCAAACACTCATTGAGCTCTTATGTACCAGCTCTAGTCCAGGATTTAAAATACAAAAAAAAAAAAAAAAAAAAAAAATTGGTGCAAAATATGTGCCCTTGTAAAGTTCACAATGAACAGATGAGACAGAGAAGCAAATGGATTACAATAAAGAGGGACAACAAATGCTAAATGAAAATGAACATGACATTATGGGAGCAACAGGCTAAAAAGCTAGTCTACTTCATGGGTGTGTGTGCAGCTATGCCTGTGGGGCGGCATGGGTGAGGGTGGGGAAGTGAAGAGGGCAGGGGAGGGGTGGGAAGGAGATGGGTCAGGCACAGATAGTGCAAAGGAGGGAGCAGCAGAATTGAATCATTAAGGATTAGCAGGAGGAGAGAAAGGAGTGATCATTAGAGTTTTGTTTTGTTTTGTTTTGTTTTGTTTTGAATTTTTGGCATTAGGAGTTTCTGGTGGGGGAGGGGGAAGAGAGTATCTCCAGCCACCTGGATATGGTGTTAACCACTAACAGATATGTTAAAACCGGCAGATGAGAAAGAGCAGGATTCATTGCAAAAATTATATTTCTTCACCTTTAAGTTACCAATAATAACAAAGAGGTATGGTAAATTTGGTAACAATTTGCTATGATTAAATATTCAATGTATGTTTTTACTTTTTATTTTTTTACTACTGGAGTATAGCATACATAAATCACTTTCTACTTTCTTATTCAGGATCATAGTTGGTATTTGAGCCTATTCTTTCCTCACATACACACACCAAAAATCACTTGGGCATCTCCCGTTACACACATCCTAATGATCACACCTCACTTTCCAAACTGTTGCTTGTGATCATAACATCTTTAACACTTTTAGGATTCAGTGCATAATTTTAAGGCACTTAGAAGAAAGTCAGTGCTTTCTGTTTCCTGTTTGTTAAAGCATGTACTTACCATTTGTTTCTTAAACTCAAAATGTATCTGTTGAAGTTCAAAGGCTTCTCTTTAAGATCAGGTAGATACGCTTTAGAGAAATGGCTTATTCCATGCCTGAGTGATGGTCCATTTCTGCATATGAACTGATAATACCAATCTTTCCAAGCTGTTAAAGTGCTGATTTATTTGAAATACTATTTCACTTAATTGCCTGGCTTGGCATGTGATCAGACACCCCTCTCTATACAAAATAAACATTTTGTTTCAATTCTGTATAATCTTTCAGAAGAGTGTTATTTACAACAAGGGATCCAAATTTCAGGTCCAAATTCACCGCATGAGTTATTTTATTAGTCAAGATCCAATCAGGAGAGAGAAACCACATAGCAATTTGAATAGGAAAAGCTCAGTTTAAAGAATTATTAACGATCACAGTGTAATAAAATTAGAAAGGAGAAGAAGACACCTCTGAGGAATATCCAAAGGCTCAAGGAGAATGCCCAATTGAGGAACAACTTGAAAAAGGGCTTGGAGGGGATCCCTGTGGCTGAGATTCAGGTCTTATTGCACAAAGTGGGCTTGCAGTTGTACTGGAGGCTGAACGTGTTCTCTGGATCCCCAGACCAGAGCTAGTCACGTTGTCGGGCAAATAGGGAGCATCCTTCTGGGGTACAGGCCAGTCGAGGCTCACAGGTATATGCACGGGAGGACTGTGCGGGGTTTTGGAAGTCTGCTCACCAGCAGGATGTTGCAAGGCATGGTGTGACAGTGTCTGATTTGGGGGGATCCCCGAGGAGATCACCAGACTGGCCCTCCAGCTGCCAACTCTTTGAGGGACTGCATGCTCTAGAGTGAAGCATCTCTAGCAAGAATACTGTAGAACAAAAACAAAACAAAAACAAAACAAAAAAACAAACAAAAGCAAAGAGTAGCAGACTAGAACCAGGAAGAGAATCCAATGTTCCATCAGTGTCTCCACTGCAAGCTTTACACCTTGCTCCTTGCAAAGAATATACACGTAAACATCCAACCCAAACCTGTATTTTGCTTCACTCACTGAGATTTAGGAATTTATTTGTTACTGGAGCACAAAAGCCCAGGTTTGTAAGTAGGAGAATACCCTAATCAGATTTGTTTTCAGAAAGATGATTTATCCAAGTAAACATAAGCTCATAAGCTCATTTTAGTAAAGTCGAAGTGAATTAAAATAGGAACCACTCATCCCAACAATATGTATTGTTTACCTTATCCCTCCTTACCTGATGCTGCAGCGCTGTGGAGCGCTGGTGAGAGCAGTATCAGTGAAATGGTGGGAATACTTGAGAAATTTTACTCGACATAAGAAATTCAGAAATTTAAAAGTCCAAGAATTATCTTACAGATAATATAAAAGTCATGTGTGTTCCAGACTTTTTTTTTTTTTTTTTTGGCATATAGACCTCTCCTGATGAACACTAAAGCACATCCACAAACACCAAACACGGTGGCAATTGAAATATGCTCCCTGGTGTTGTGAGGTTTGTGATGTACGGGAACAAGTGATGACTGAGAATGATCATCACAGGTGCAACATGGTTGTACACGTTGATGACTTGGGATGGCTTGGGAATGTCCACAGATTCTCTGCACTGCATATGTGTTATGTCTACGCATGGTTACATAGAGTCATTATTTAATTCTCGTTAAAAACCACACTGCCTTGGCACAAATGTGATTCTTTTATTTGCCAATGCGGTTACTGAGATCTGGAAGAAATAAGGATCGTTTCTTTCTCTCCCTTTCCTCCCACCCCACCCTCCCTCCCTCCCTCCCTTCCTTCCTTCTCTTTTTCCCTTCCTTCCCTCCCTTCCTCCCTCTCTTTCTCTCTTTATCTTTCTTTCCTTCTTCCCTTCCCTTCCCTTCTCTTCTCTTTTCAAACAAGGGTCTTTTCTAAGGTCAAGGAGACACAAACACCTTAGAAAGGACTCTCATTGCCAATGCCCTGCACATGAGAAGTGGGCAAATGCTACAAATATTGTTGTCGTTATTTCAAATCACGCAGGGATACTATTTGCCTTACTGCCACAAAAGTCCTCCAAGACATTTATTGCTTTAATAAAACAGGGCCTTTGGTGCATAATTACAACAATTTATTATTTGATAAAATTAATAAATGCTACTTCTATTAATGCTCCTTTTGTGTCCTTTAACTGTGTTTTTCTATTTGTTAAGGTTTATTTCTCTGTCCCCATTCTAAGCTGTAATTCTGAACCAGTATTTTGAAATGTATTCAAATATTTATATATTTAAATTTACAACTTTGTATATCAACAATATAGTAATAATAACAGCAGACATTTACACAACACTGTAATAGACACATTTTTAAGCGTTTCACACATACAGGTTTCTTTGATCTTCTGAACAAGCTTAGCACGATGGGTGCTGTGCTTATCTGCATTTAACATGTGAAGAGACAGAGACAGGTTATGTAATTGGCCTCAGTCACACAGCTATTAAGCTGATGCAGCCAGAACTTGAGTCCAGATAACTGACTCTATACTCACTCATCTCTCTTAATTATAGAATTTTGCCTCTTTGAGAGTCTAATAAGTAAAAAAGTAATCACATCATCACAACGGAAAGCCTTAAAATTCAACTGAATCATCCTAGAGCAAAGATTCTGTTTATTAGTAGGCCTCTCCTAAAAATATTTTTATTATCTGGGACATGGCATCTATCTGAAACTTCAAATGTAACCAACTTTTAAGTCATAATTTATTCTCTGGCACATATTTTTTCTCTTCTCTCTCAGCTTTAAATTTCAGTGAAGTCTATAAGATTTGTAACAGTGTTTAAAACATGAAGTGTACTTTCACCTGATTGATTATTTAACGTTTGATTTTTATTTTTGTTTGAGTGGGGGGACCTGAATAGAACTTGGAAGCAGATTTTCACATTAAATTATGAAATTAGAGTAGCAACTGTCAAGGTCCAAATGCTTTTTCTGAAAGTGTATTCGTCCAGACAGCCACTCTCTACTGATGTAATTATACAGTAAAATGATTTGTATATGTGGGTTTACGTATATTTTTATATATTTCTCTAGGAAAAAAATGACAACTGAATTCAGACGCACACACAAAACAATTTAAAGGTTAGAATAATTAAGTAAAGAGGAATGAAATCTTTCAAAGTACCAAATATCCTGTGTCAGGATGGGGTGAGACCAGCGAGAAGGGGTGGGTGTGGGGAAGTGGTGGTTTTCAGTCCATGTATCACGTTTTGTTCACGTAATTCGTAACTTTGTATGTTGACGCTGGAAACAGTTTACGCTGCGTTACAAACAAAACAAAACGAAAAACCACACATCAATCGTTATATCCACAAGTCACAAAGGAGACTGGACTATAAGACTTGAACCTAATACTTTTTCAATAATATAAAAGAGTGCTCTTTAACAGGCTTGAATTGCTTACTTTTAAGCAAGGGAATTATCACTGAGTAACTATGGCCTAAAGAAAATATTAGCCATGGAGAAGACAGATACTATTACTGAATAGCTTACCCATGTCCTTTTTAAAATGAATCATTGTAGGCTTTTATTGGTTTAGTTTTCATCTGCTTGAAAATGCCTTCTCCTCCTTCTTTTTGGTTGGTTTGTTTGTTTTAAAAACCAGCACCACAGGGAGAGGAGTAAAGCACAGCTTTTCTGAAAAGTCTTTTGTGTCTCTTCTTGTTGGCCAAGGAATTAATCCCAGACCTGGCTGTTTGTGTGACAATGCTGATATCTGATTCTGTCACTCAAGGGAAAACAGGAAACTTTCCCTTGGCATCAATATTTCTGAACTTTCCTGGACTGGGTGAGATACAGACACTATTACTCTGAATTTCATTTTTTCCCTGGGAAGAACGGTTACCTTTGAAAATGTAAAATTCATATATTATTAACATAACTTTGATTCTTTGTTTGAAACGGTTCCCAAACCAAATGGAATTAAATTAAAAAATTTGAGTCTGGTCTTATAATTAACATTTAAAATTTCAAGTTATTTAGCCTGTTATTCACAGTTTGTGTTTTTATTTCTATATGTCCCCCCTCCCTACTGTTCCTTATCTTCATCTGTGTTAT